ATCTTTAAAGTAGCTATTGGTACCCATTGGCTCACGACACATAGGTCAGTTAATGTTAATCCCTTGCTTGATTTGTGTCTCCAGACAAGTCTTACAGAATATGTTGTAGCAGCAGGAGACTTGATGAGGATCACAGGATACTAGAGTACAAATATGGCAGATGTAGTTACTAGATGGATCACCATTGACAAAAGTATAATCATATCCACCATAGGAATCTTCTGTAAGAGCAGCCATGTTGGAGGAGTTATTAAAATTGTTAATAATTAAATAATTAATGTTAACAAACTTAAGAAAAAAAGAAAGACAAATAGACATGCTTTTATAACACTATACAAGCCATGGTTTAGTCTTAGAAGTGACTCTTGCACTGACTCTGAAATACCACGGACCCAGAAAACCATAATCTACATCCCACATCATTTGAAAATCAGAATGAGCAAAAAATTGATCTTTCCCCCACCTTTGTGACATTGTTTTTGTCACCCTTTCCTTGCAATCCTCAGGAGTTGAGTCATCATATTTGATAATAAGCTTCTTGTGATTTTCATCTTCATAACGGTTTAGTAGCTCTACTGTAACTTCTCCTTCAAATGGCCACTGCAGCTCATCATCATACTCCCCAGGAACAAGACTAGTATAACAAGACACATGAGTGCCTTTTCCTCTGCCACGACCATTAGCATATACACAAAGCATCATCTTATACCCACCTGGTGAGGTATAAAATGATGGACTATACCACACCAGATCATTATATCTATAGGAGGATGGATCATTCATTTTGAAGACATGGGAACTTGAACTACCAGCGCATTTCACACCAGCACATTTCGTCTGCAGAGTATCAACTCGTTTGACGGCCATTTGCAAGTGCTCTTTCATGGATTCTTCATTATGCTTTTCTTGCTCTTCTCTTTTTATTAATTTTTTGCATCCTAAATTACTGTATTCACAGTAAATAATAGCTTTAGGACAATTTTGCTCATGATGTGTAAACCAAAAGCGTTCTCGAATAAATTCACAACCTTCATTAGAGCATTTGATTGGATAATAACGACACTCATTAAGATGAGCACTGCTTGTTATGATGTCATGAGGACCTTCTTTTTTGCAATACTGGCAACTGACCTTCCGCTTTGGACAATCACTGAGCAGGTGAGCTTCCACTTCCTTATAGCGAATCTTTTCCCCACATCCCAGAGAACAGTCAACCATTCGATAAGGACAGATCATGACATGTGCTTCAATATCACTAATAGTTCCTTTCCAGTCACACTCCTCAATGGTGCATTGAACTTGAAGGGCCTTTATCTCACGCTCCAACCTTCCATCTTTAAAATAGCTCCTTGTATCCAATAGCTCACGACAAGCAGGACAGCTGAATCTCCCATTCCATGAGGATTTCTTCCTGTGCTTATCCAGACAACTCTTACAGTAGATGTTATAGCAGCAGGAGACTTGATGAGGATCACGTGACACTAAAGTACATATGAGACAGATGTAGTTGCTTGGTGGGTCACCATCAACAAAAGTATAATCATATCCTCCGTAAGAGTTATCTAAAAGACTTCCCCATGTTTCATTAGCAGCAGCCATTTCTTTTCCCTTAGTCACTGTAATAGTTCAATAACTATTACTTATAACTACTATACTATTTAAAGCATTCAACAGCTACCTAATAGAGTAAGTCATGAAGCAAACATATACACATAGTGAGATAATCCACTGTAGTACAAGGAGTGTAGATAGGATTTATGGAATAAAGGGGCAAACTATGCGGCGCACAAAGCGCACCACAAAATTTTGCAAAACCACGCTTTTTAAAAGTGTGACCACACCTCTTTTTTAACATGGTAGACTTCTTGAACAATCATGGGCAATGTTGAGTACCTTTTCAGCTTTATAATGGCATCATAGAAAGACTAAATTAGCCTTTTCCTTTCATACATGTATGTAAGCTGTAGAACAGCTTTTTCCTCCAAAAGTATAGCTTATTATTTTGTTAATTTTAAATTTTGATTTTAAAAAGGGGGGCATTTGCCCCCTTGCCCCCCCCTGAGTACTGTATGCTACTGGTAATATTATACACACTATTGTACACATTACATTACACATCATATAAATACATGTATACATGTACACATACAGAGGATAAGTATGTACAGGTGGAGTAACTGTAGATTGAAGTGTGTACAGGTGGATGTACCTTATAAAGGATAATAATGTGAACACAAAATTAGTTAAATGAACCACAACATACAAACAGCTGCAATGGATAATAAATAAGAGCACCTGAGCAGAAACAGTATTTAAAAACAAGATGTCTAATATTTATAATGTAATAGCCAGCAATTGATACAATTATGACTGGCACCAGGTCATTAAACTGGCTCAAGATCTTTATTAAAACACTGCCGAAAGGTTTCATAGACACAATTTAACATTAAAAGATCCACCCATTGCCAAGAATGCCTTGTGGCAATAAGATCCTAATCAAATTAAAAGAAACATCTAGAAGCATGAAACGATTCACCATTAGAGGAAGAATGGAGTCAAATTACACATTCCACTTGTAGACTAAATACCAGAAAGCATCACAAGTCCAAACAACAAAATAATTATCGTAATTGTTGACAATTAAAAGTTGCCCAATACTAATTATGGAGCTAATTACAGTATTGACATTGTTGCCTTGGATAAGTTTACTTTAAAAAGGAATCAAAAAAGGAGCGTCATAATAACAAAATAGAGCAGTAAGAGCAATCATCAAAAAGCAATCTTTAAAATGAATTGTGTCAAAATCCTTGGCATGCGTGACAAGTGGAACAGACGAGTGTACACAATTCCCCATTACTATAAGAAATAACACGCTCTGTTGGTAAATAAGTGAAAAATGACTGCCAAAATCCCCAACCGCCAATTAGGCAGAGGGCCAGGATACAGCTTCACTGAGTACATAATAAATATGAGAAATTAGAGAGAGAGTATTATATTAGAGTAGTGAGAAGGATGTGAGTAACTTAATAATAATAATAGAATTAAGAGATTATTAGTAGCTGTTAGTCACAATGTAGGCATCACACACATTGTAGTCTTACAAGAATACATATAGATCCACATGCAGCCAGTTATATTTGAAAATATAGGCTATACTAATAAAGCTATAGGGCTCACTAAATGATACGGATGATATGCCACCAATGTCTGATAGGACTCGAACCCATAACGTCTTGCTTAGAAGGCAAATGCTCTACCTATTGAGCTACAAATGCTACTACATAAATATAGCTTTTATGGTCTATGTTTTTACAAATAGTAATCCATTGCAAGTTGATGTGGTTACCACCCCCACGGCTTCTAGATACGATTCATCTAATGCAATGCTATAGAGTAGTAGTAGTAGGCTTCAAGTTCTTAAAAGTGATACTACATAATACAAGTACAATAACAGCTCCTTTCCTCTTGGTTGCATACAGTACTAACAAGAATGTTTATATTAGTCGGTTGTTGTCGATTCAGTTTCAAGTACAGCAAAGTATGAATAACAAATATCACATTCTAAGCATTATATGATAGCACTTTATTTAAGAACAGATTCACTTAAAATAAAAATAATAATATACATACGTATACTGGTACATGTAGGTGTGTGCTGTTTGGTTGATGGAAACAAAACAGATTTTGACATGTGTACTATTTTCAAACAATAAAGATACAGTTATGGGGGAAGCGGTTCCTGCAATATGCTGTGGTCATGTACTGTTGATGAAATATACACACTATTGTGGATTTGTGGTTAAAGCCGGGGTAATTAGTTGCAGCATAAGAAATAAACAACTCACAACATATTCAGAGGATACTGTACATAGCGGTACTGTATATATTAGTAGTAGACTAAGAGCATATTTAAAAAACATTATATGTGTATTATAATAATCATAATAGTTTACTAATAGCTAATACGATTAAAATAGTATTGTATATATTATGTACTTACCTTCTTCGAGTCTTTGCTGTCAGTAGAGGTATCTTCTTCATCATCATCTCCTTTCTTGTCCAATTTCATTTCTATTTTCTTTCCACCAACAAGATATCCGCCATCAATCAACCTGTATAGTGTATAAATCAGTTACATGTGCTTTTAGTTTCCTTCTCAAAATATTAGCAATTATACATGTACATGTACATGTACATGTAGGTAGTTTTAAAAAATGAAAACCAATTTTAAAAATTCATGAGAATGAGCTCACACTATAATATTAACGTAAGGACATGTACATGTGTATATGTAAAAATAGAGAATTCTCTCTTAGTCATCTTTGGTGAAATTTGGTCAAAAACCTGCTTTTGAGCAACTTTTGAAAATTCATTAAAAATCAAATTTTGATCGGAATCCGCTTAAACTTTCTACACAACATAAGAACACATATATGTATCAGAAAATATAATCAAAATGAAGAATTCTCTCCTTTTCATTTTTGATGAAATTTGGCCAAAATCCCTGTACTATAGTACAGGGACTTCGACCCAATTTTTGACCAACTTTTAAAATTCATAAAAAATCCAAATTTGATCGAAATGAGCTCAAACTTGCTACACAACATAAGAACATGTATATGTATCAGGAAAAATTATAAAAATTGAGATTTCTCTCCTAGACTTTTTTGACAAAATATCATCTGCTATATAGTACAGGGTACTTTGTTAAATTTTAGAGAAACTTTATAAATTGATAAACAATCCAATTTTGATTGAAATCAACTCAGAAAATTATAAAAACAAACTCCTAGCAATTTTTGATGAAATACATGTACCGATCAAATTTTGAAATCATAAATTCAGAATCAGCTGAAACCTTCTATAATCGAGAGCTCAAACTAGACTAATGTCTGGCAAAATTTGAAAAAAACCCTAAAGCTTTTACTGGACAGTTATCATGATAAACACTACATCAATACCTCTTGCAGTATTGAATTGCAGAAGCTCTTGATGTGAAATGTGGCGAATCATCACCATCAGAACCTCCTTCTCCCCACTGGCTTGACATCAATGTATCAATAAGCTTACTACCTATTAGAAATAACAAGAAAAACAATATAAACTAAACAAAGCATCTTTATTATATATATACAATTGCATCAATGTAAACTCAAGCACTGTAACATATAACATATTGATGTAAAATATTATCAGGGAGATTCCCTTTCTCCGATCGATGAACATTAAGCTTACTATTTAAGGATACAAAATTGCCAATAAAATTACAGAAAACGCACACAACAAAAAAGAATTATCGCTTTATGCTATTATATCATACATGCACGTAGACAAAATCTAAAACTACAAAGGAACAGTGGAATAATAATAATGGGGAAGTTTTGGATGGCAAAACTGACTGTTTGTTTATAATTTATCAATAATGGAAAGGAATGCTTAGTGAATATTCAATACACACAGAAACACCTCAAGTGAAGACACTACACAATCAATACAATACCGATAGACTACACAAATGAACTGAAAAGATAACAGCCCTCAACCAGTAATCGAATAACACAACCACCAGATAAAGAAGGCATGGGAACTAATGATTTAAAGTTCTAGGATATCACAAATGTTCTAACTACATGTTTTTGCCAAGAGGGTAGTAGTGTATATGATATAAATTATCTTTGATTATCTTGTACTTAGAAAAATGACCAGAAGTGAGCACTTGGTGATTTCAATGGTATTGTTAAATGGCTACTAGAGCAGTGTACACTCTAAATATAAGCTGTGACTTCTTGAAATAATTAAATAACGTAATATCTAATTATGGTATCAGCTAATTTCAATATTTTTATAAACATCATTCTCCCCAAATTCCAGTTATTAGTATTAAGAACCAATACGTGTATATAATATCAGAAAAATTCTCAAAATAGTGCGAAAATAGCAAATTATATGTATGCATATGCATGCATCACTATTCATTCACTGATCATTAACACTTATGCTCACCTGTAATGTAATTCACTTTCTCTTTCTTGATTTGCCCTCCTTTGCAAGGGACCTTCTTCCTCAGGTATATCAATATCTTTTGAAACTCTTTTTTGTCTTTATCGTCTTCCTCATCATTCATATCAAGGGGAGGATTGGAGTCCTGTAAAAAGACAATTAAATGAAATTTTCTAAGACAAAAAAATAATTATAAACCTTGTTTCGTTTCATCTTGTTAACGTGTTTTGGGCGTGGTTACAAAATAATCCAGCCACGCCTATTATTACATTTGTCACAAAGCCAATCAGACTTGATTTGGTTTGATGTGGTTGGTATGGAATGAATAGAATGTCCTGTCATAGCTGCATATGCAGACATTGAATCATTGGCTTCCCATATATTTAAATGTGTGTCTACAACTCTATCTCATTATCTAGTGTTCCAGATATCAAGTGACTTGTTTCATTCTCTCCCTCCCTCTATCACTTTCTTCTCTTGTCATCCAACCTCTGTTTATCTTTCTCAAGCTTGCCCTCCCTCCCCTTGCTATGACGGAAGCGGATTTCGAACGAGAGGCGATCAAGCTGTTCCGCCAGCTCGGGCTAACGGTGGATGCAGAAACGCTGGACTTCTTTCAAGGGCAGAGCGTCTCGTTGATCGACTGGAAGAGCAGCTTTAAGCCCAAACGCGTTAGAATTCCCGAGCCATACCCTCCTCGTGGAGGAAAACCCTGCAATATGTCTACCACATCCTCCTCTTCCAGCAGTCCGCATCAAAGAAAGCGGTTACCTCTGACTGTGGTTCGTCCTAACAGTGATATTGGGTCAGAGGGCAGTGTTAGTGCCAGCCCCACAGAAAGCATAGAGATATACAAGGACGAAGATCATGAGGATTTTGGTGAGTATCCAATAATAGCTACTACTCCATGATTGATTATGATTACTAGCTCCTGTGAGCCATATTCCATTGTTGTGATAAGTACATGTAAAACACATTTTGTGGTTTTGCATTATTTTAGTTGTCATTGTGAGGGGAGGCATAACAATTCTTGTGATAGTTACAGATGACATCATGCTCTACCCTTAACTTTCTCGTGTATTATGTGGTAATTTGGCATGTACATGGTTAGCTGTTGTGCTAATTGTGTATCATTTTCGCATCTGATTCTGTCATGAATGTAATGACTTATCTAAAATGACTATATTATTGCCTATTGCTATTATTAATGCAATAATCAATGCCTTCCTGAACCATTTAGAATCCATTATTATACGCACTAAGTAAGGTCAAGGAAACTTGTAATTAAATTCAGATTTATTTATGACACTTCATTTACACCTTCAATCGTATGACCCTAAAATTTTTAGCCTCTATATAATAAAGGACTGCCTATAATGTTACTGTAATGCATTTAGACAGCTTCAATAGCATTTCCCTTTGTTGGTCAGTACTAGCTGCCAACAGGTGAAACAGTAATGACAACATTAGTCTATTGATGGCTATCAGGTACGAGACCATCAAAGAAAACTAGAGCACATACGAATATAATCAATTTACTAACTGCATATCTCCATCGAGTCCAACTAAAATATATTGTTTGCAATAACATTTCACTATGATGTGTTTATCTTATATTTTTGTCAGGTCCTTGTGCAATGTGTGATCTGCCTGTAGTGGGAGTGGAGACAGGCTGCTTTGCTTTGGAGCAGATATTTCACAATACGTGCTTCAAGTGTAACAAATGCTGTAAGTGAATACGGATCACGTTATAACGTTGAAATGACTAGAATGTCTCTAATTTCATTTGCATAGACAAGATGCTCTCTGGCGGTAGCTTCTTTGTGAAGAACGGTCTGATCTTATGTGAGAGGGATTACCTGGTAAGCTTAATAACTCTCAGTTGTATTGCACTAATGAGATCTTTCTTCATTTCCAGCTGTCCCTTGATAAATGCTTTACCTGTCAGCAAGTAATCACAGACAAGGTTAGTACAATAACTGACTCATCCTAATCACTCATTTCTGAATTGTTTCTCAGATTATAAGGGCGGTAGGTCGCACGTATCATCCTGTCTGCTTCAGATGCAGTCAATGTGGAATGTGCTTGGATGGCATCCCGTTTGCTAAGGACTTTAACGATAGAGTGTATTGCGAAAAAGACTTCCACAAGTAAACACCAAGTCCCACATTGTGTGAAGCCCTTACCTTATCCTTACCTGTTTTGTATTGTGTAGAATGTTTGCTCCGAGATGCGCTTCTTGTCAACATCCCATTGTACCATTACAGGTTAGCATCACTCACATTGTAATGCAACAGTTATGCTGTAGGATGCAATGGTGTAGGATGCATGCTGTGTGTTTATGAGGGCTAGGGCGTGGGTATATAGTGGTTTGTTGTTGGATGATTTGTACTATGCTATGCTGTAAATAAGAAATAGAAAACAGACTAGAGGGAGTTGTAATTACATTGGTGCCTGCATGTGATTCTCAGTAATCAATATAAAAGATGTTATTTTGTAATTGTGTACTAAAACCCTCAAATGCCTCCTAGTTGTACATATAGTGTATTAGGTGTTGGTGTGGAGGGGAGGGCTTATGTACATGGGCAGGACCATCCATTGTTACTGCCTTGTCCTTTCTCATGCAGGGAAACAAGAAGAGCATAAGAATCATTGCATTGAATTCTAGTTTCCACTTGGAATGTTATCGCTGCTCTGTAAGTGATGATAAGGAATGCAAACAGGTCATTCACTTTATTCCTTATTATATTAGGAATGTGACATTCCATTGATATCTAATGATGGGAGCGATGGTCCTCCACAGTGCTATCCTATTGCTGATCATCCTTTATGTTTAAACTGCAACAAGCTCTGGACTACCAGAGGGCAGAGATCACTCATTGTTAAACCTGTTGTATCATAGAAACTATAACATTTCTCATTACTGTCATTTTAATAGAAATTAATAATAAAATTTTATCATTATTGTCGTATAAACTAATAAAAATTTATTGGCCATAATAATTATTTCAGTCACATGTGAGCTCAGGTGTGGAAGACATTGATAGCAGCAATGGAGACTTTTCTCGTCCTTGTTTGCACTCTTTGTGTTGCTTCCACGCTAGCATTGAGTACCAATAACACCGACAAGGACTTCACCAAAAATTTTAGTTTCACCATGGAAATAAATGG